TGGCTTTTTGTAAATGTGTTAGTTCACAGTAAAAAGGGTTAACATTTAGAAGGTCCTCATTCTTTTTGGGGGTGCTCTATAGATAAACCTCAGTCCTTTTACTTCCCAGTGGCTGAACACAGAGCAAAGAGCAACACCGTGACTTGTCTTTATCATCAAGAGATCACGGGCATCCTTCCAGGTCAATATGTGTGGATCTAATTCTCTGTTTTTAATAGCTGCATAATATCCTGGAGTCTAGATATACCATGATTTTTTCCAACAAGTCTCTTTTGATGGCCTTTTAGGTGGTTTCCAGATTTTTACTAAAAGTAATGGTGCAATAAACATCTATATTTGTATCTGTATCTACATGTAGATCTCGATATACAACCTGCTTACCTACCAGTGCTTTTGTTTCTGTAGGTATAGGGACTGTTGTGTCAACAGTATGCTCATTTCACTTTTTGGGCGATTATATCTAAATGCAGTGCATGATCCTGGATCAAGAAAAAAAATTGCTGTACAAACAGTATTGAGATAATTAGCAAATTTTGAATGTGGATTATATATTAGATAATACTGTTATACTAATGATAAATTGCTTGAATGTAATCAGTTTAACGTTATGTAAGAGGATGATCTTGTTCTTGGGAAATAACGTGTTGAAGGATTTTGTGTTAAGAGTCATAACATCTGCATTTTACTCTCAAATGGTTCAGGAAAAGAAATGTGCATAGATAATTGTATACACAGTGATAAAGCAAATGAGGCAAAATGTTAATAATTAGTTAAGCAAGGTGAAAGGTTATAGAATTCATCATATTATTCTGGCAACTTTTTTGTAAGTTTGACATTTTAAAAAAAATAAAAAGCTAAAAACGTCTTTATGAAATACTGTCAGATTACTTTCCAAAAAGAACAGCGCCCCATCGTCGTGATGGCACTGATGGATGCCAAATGGTATCTTCCTGTTTAATATGCATTTCCTTGACTACGATTCTAAAATTGCCTGCCACGTGCTTCCTGTGGCTCCGGGAGTAGAAGCAGGAATGTATCTTTGGAGCTGATTACTTTTTGTTCTGTGAGCCTTCCTGGTTATGCACTGGTGGAATGATCTAAATACAAATTGGAAGAAATCTTCTGTTTATAAGACATACCGCTTATTTAGATTTAGTCAGCCAATGTGAGAGGGGAGAAACACTATATTCAAAATATGCAAAAACTTTTTTTTCCATTTTGGCTAAATAGCTTTCATTTATCCACATAATACCACCTTTTCTTTAGGGCCACATTGTGAAGTTGTCCTATAGTTCTTTCCATTCCGAAAGATTCATATCTATAGAAATGTTTTGTGATACATGGAGATTGTCCATTTTCCTAAAATGCCTGGATTCTTACGGGACCCTGGGCTAGGAGGAAGGAGGAAATGGGAGAAGGGGTTGGGATTAAGGAAGGCATTGCCAAGTGACTAGCTTAATTGGACATCCCGTGTTACGGCTTTATTTCCAGAAATAAGGAGAAGCCATTAAGATGCCTGTTCAAGAGTGTCCTCATCAGTCCAGGCATGTGCTCCCCACTACAGTAGGTCTGCTGCTTAGAAACAAGAGTCTCATTGGCTCCTGTTTGTGTGCCACACCCCTAGGAGATGCCCTTTCTCTCCAGGAAGCCGGGCATCTCCCCAGGGAGGGCTGACAGCTGACTGTGCAGAGGGACAGGACCGCACCCCGCCCCTCAAGCTCCCGCCCCTGTCCACACCCTCCTGTTTCTGTAAAACTGCCTGCCTTGGGGGCTCAAACTTCTGGGGAAGGATTGCTCATCGGCAACCTTTTACACGTTTGGATTTGTATTAAAATGATATTACATAATGAAATTTATAATCGGATGATTTTACCTGTGTATCGGTATATTCTTGGTCTGGACACTGCATCTTTTTTTGTCAGAATCGAGAGGACAGAAATGGGAGCGATTCTTCTGAAAACCCTCAGATTGTGTGTTTGGGACCAGCCAGTCTATTTTAAGTCCGGTGACTGCTGTTGTTCTTGTTTGTTTTGAATAACACACCTGAACACATTTTCTGATTTACAGTCTGAGCAGGGACCAGAATATTTGAAACTTGGACTATCCAAAAATATATGAAATGTAAAGTCACTGTTTTAATAAATCATTTGGAAATTCAGTAGCAAACCCTAGAACCGATGGCAGGATGGAAAGGAAGTTTTCTCATTTTCACATTAGCAGACTTTTGGTTCTTTTCCTAAATGACATTGCAAACATCCTGCCGGTTCTCCTGGAGAGGGAGTTAACTTGAACTGCGGGAGAGATTTCCAAGGCCCTCTGAGCCCTCAGCTCAAATCTCCCGTTTTCACAAGGCCTTTCTGTTCCCCAGGATGGCAGAATTAATCCAAATGGCAGGAGCGCTTGGCTCACCGTATCCATAGGTCTGGCAGGAGAAATGCCAGTCCGTTTGCACTGCCTCCGCCGACACACAGGCCCATCGGCCTCAGGGCTCTGTGGTCACCTGCACCCAGACTACGAGGGCCAGATCCACGTGTGCTGATGTCCAGTGCTCCCTTGTCACTGGTGGTTGGACCTAGAGGTGGACGGGTGCAGATTGCTAAGAGCCTCTTCGTTCCCGGTGCCATCTGCGGTCTCTGCCGAGCTTCCACTGGTGGCAGCATGGCACCTTTGTGCCCATGAAAGCATTAGCTCCTCCGAGGGGACAAAGAGGCTCTCCATTGAAGCCACCTGCTTACTTCCCTCTTCCGCTCAGCCCTGGGGATGGTGTGCTTTCGTCTGCATCCTGTGCTTCCCAGGAGCCCAGTGACCTTGGACTGCCTTTCAGTTGTGCTAAGAGCTGACCGTGATTCTGCACCTAAGCCCTAGATTATGGTGACGGTTGTCATACTGTGTGTGTTGCCGTTTTTTCTCCAATGTATTCTTGACATGAGGCTTTTTTTCATGACAGTATTTGCTGATTCAGTATAATAACCGCCTATGAGTATTCCCTAGAGTGACTTTAATGCATGGATATCAGTGGTACCTTATTTCCTAGCTCATGTGTTGGTCAGGAACCATAAGTTCACATGCCAATATCTATGTGACTTCCCTTTTGTCAAAAAAAATAATATGATATATAAATATATAAATATTATATATATATGATCTTTGTGAAAATTCAAGATAAGAGGTGCAGAATGCCTGGCACCAGACAGATATTTTCTCTCTCTCTCTCTCTCTCTCCACCTCTGTCCATCTCTGTCCATCGCTGTGTGTGTGTGTGTGTGTGTGTGTGTGTGTGTGTGTATATA